TTGAAGGACAGCTGAAAATGAACCTTCTTACGTCTGCTAATGTTTAATTTTGCACTGTATATTTTTTATTCTGCTTTTTAAAACACTTTGTGTGTATATATATATATATATATATATATATATATATATATATATATATATATATATATATATATATTATCTTGAAAGGTTCTTTGTAAATAATGTTTTACTTACTTAATTAGTTACTCCTGTCCATCATGACTGCTTAGACCTTTTGTGTTTACTGGCATCATTAGGACACCTTTACTTGTCAAAAATTCAACTGGATCACTTCTGTTCTGAGTTATTTAGAAGATAAAGCAAGATGTTTATCAGGCAGCGTGTTGGCCTTAAGTTCACTTACAACCATCGATTTGATGGTCTCTTATCTCCAGGAAGATGTTTAAATGCTAATCAGATCTGATCACTTAAAGTTGCTCCTCAACCACTAGATGCTCCATGTGGTCCAGTGTATTGTTTCTACACCCCTCTTTCCTTAATTCTTTTAGCGTCCTCGCTTTTTACTGTTTTACCCCATATTTATTCTTTTATAACCCATTTTCTGTGCCATTCATTTCCTTATAGTTTTTTCCTGGTCTCAGTACGTTTTTCATTTTGTCCCTTATTTCTGTCTGACTGGTGCTGATTTACTCTACAACCTTTATTTTTGCACAGCAGAAAAACACTTTTTTCCCAATGTGTAGTTGATGCATCTTACTACTACGACTATGGTGCCTTCCAGGTTGCTCAGATTACTTGGTTTGGCAAAAAAAAAAAAAAAAAAAATAATAATAATAACATACACATTAACAAAATGTCTGTAGTATCTTCAACAGTTATTGACAGTTATTAAAGGTAAACTAAAATCGTCAGAAATAATAGAAAAATGCTATTTTCATTTGAGCACATTTATGGTAAAAAGTCCTCTTTATGGTAAAACAAAAATAGAAACAATAGTTTTTAATTATATTACTGTTGCCAAAATTGGCCTATCAATTCCTAAAATATAAATGTAACTGAACATTCTTTGTGTTGTGTTCAAGTTTGGTCACTTTGTGGATGATTTTTTTATCAGCATCTGTGACATCTTGTTAGTCACTATTTAAATAGGAAAGACTCAATAACATGCAATGCAAGTAAGGGACTTTGTTTTGAGTTTCAAGTCACAAAATGACTGCAAGAACCGCATTAAGACCAACCGTCTTAATTTGACAATGAAGTCAACAAAGAACAAGTATTGAAAGTCTCTTCCTGCATGCTCTTTCTTCATTGTCAAATTAAGACCTTGTGTATTATTACAGGAGAAAACTATTTTTTACTGCTGTATTTTACTCTCAGCTGGATCTATGTCTTCCTACTAAACACTGGATTTTTCCATATTTTTATGTGTGGTTACGGTGTGCAATAAAAAAATAAAAAATTCCTTCCTTATGGTTTTTACATTTCCGTAAGGAAGGAATTGGCACCCACTTGTCTTTACAAGTAGGTGCCAATACATGTGGAGGTCACTGTATGTTTTCAAGGACGACAGCAAAGGAGAAATGCATGAATCATACCTCTCAGAATAGGTGAAAGGGGCGTACTCTTGTTCGTTTGAATAAAAGTGAGCAGCCCAACGATGTGTGAAAAAGAAGCTGCAATTTGTCCTCGCTCACCATCCCTGTGTAGGATATCAAATGCTCACTGAAAAGGTAGCAATACACAAATGTAACCACACAGAAGCAAACAGTAGCCCAGAATTCACCACTATGCCCCGAGAGGAGAACAGCACTCCAATATTCTCGTCCCATTTGTCTCAATCGGCCTGCTGTCTGGGCGGTCAGTCTTAGGGGCCTCAATGGGAATACAGAATAGAGTGCAGCTTTTTACACTTACTCAGCCTGGCCGTGTTCAGTATCCCTGTGACCTTTGTGACCTTGCACCCTGAACTAGATACAACACATCATTTACTGCACTTCAGCAACACATGCCTTCGGAAAATTCATCCACACCACAAAACAAGAAGAGCCTTTGCTGATACGTGAACAATGTGAGTAGAGGTGGATTTGCTGGATTCATCTTTTATTGAACAGGTTCTTCACTTCTTTAGATCTTTACGGTAATGACTCAGATCTGCAGTCAATAAGCAAGGGACATTGTCAAGCGAGTTTTGGCTATTCAGGTTTAGGTGCATGTAGCATTGAAAGTAATGATACCGATAATGCAAAGGGAATTTATGCAGTGTGCAATGCAGTTTATCAGCCTGCCTCAAATTATCCTGTATTTATTGTGGGCTCTGACTTTCTCAGCGGAAAGCAGTTCATGCTGCCTGTTATCGACCCATTAATTGGAAAGTGGCCCATTGTAGTGAAAGGGCTGGGTGGTATGATCAGACAGGAAGAGATGGAGGCTTAAGATCACCCAGAACTCTTAATTGGCAGGAAAGAGGTTTCCATGAAGTGGTGTAATGTGTTTTTTATTGGCTTGTGTGCAGTGAACGGCATGGTACTTTAAGTAGTTTTTTTTTTTTTGTCCGTTAAGAAAAACTACAGGTGTGAACAACATTCGTTGAGACTCCATGTTTGGATTCAAATCAACTGTAACTGTGGACTATTTTATTCAGTACCCAAAAAGTTTTTTTGTTGTTGTTTTTTTTTTTTTCTGTTGTGATGGATAAATCACAGCATGGCAATTACAAAACAAACATCTTTGAGTAATGCCCATGTCTTGCGATGACCTTCATGGAGCAGAATTGTTTGAAACATATATCCAAGGTTAGTTGTATAGTCAAAATAAGTACAGATGGGACACGTCACTGGAAAAAAAAAAAGATTTTGATCTTCCCTTTTCTTTCTTTCCAATTTTATTTCAATTTATTTCATTTTATTATTTTTTTAACTCTTTTCAGCCGCTCTTATCATTTCATTGCCAAACGATTTCAAACATTCCTTCTTCTCTTGCTTTATGGTCAGATTCCAGTCTTTGATATATTCCGTGGGTGTTTTCTTTTAACATCGGCAAAGGCTGAAGTGGAATAAAATGTTGAGGAGATAAAGGTGTTTGCAAAAGCATGGAAGGTCAGAGTACTGAGGTGGCCTGTCTGACCTTCACACACCCTTTTTTCATACTGAGCCTCTGCAGCGCACCGATGACATTGAAATACTCTATCGACCGTGAGTCAAGCTGTGCATGTGAAAAAGCCTGGCACAACGACGCATTACTCACCAAACATGACATTTCGCCGCTATGAATTCTAGACAGAGAGTTGTGCACAACATAGTGTAATTATTTGTGTTGCTGTGATGAATGCAGCCACAAGAGCATGAAAGCATTTTCTCTTTAAGACATTTTCTTCAATCATTCCTCCCACTACACAAGAGGAAATTGATTATTCCCTTGCAATAATCAGAGCTAAAAATATGCTGGTTAAGAAAATGTTTTCATAAGAAAGATCCTAAGTCTTTTGATAATGGGCCTATATTTTTGGCAAATGCCAGTAAGCACACCTCAATGTTTTTAACCTTTTAACTCCTTAACATGATTAAAAACTCCAATACATTGTGGCTTGGTATAATTACTAAGCCAGTGAAACACACTGGGAGTAAGATAGAGTGCTTCGTGGCCGATGTGATTGATCCAGTCCGTAAGGCGGTGCTTCGTACTGTTCCAAAGATTAGGGATTTGTGCCATTTATGCAGAGTGCCTTGTACCAGAATTACATTACAGTGCTGCACTTTGTCACACATCAAAATGCCTCCTAATGTGACTGTACAGAACACGTAAAGTCTTTTCCTCATTATCTGACATTTAAAATCAGACTGAAGTTTTATTATTGTGTTAGTTTGGTAGATATAAATCATTGCTATTGGCTATACAATATTGCTAGTAGTAATAATCAACTGTAATATTTTTTACATCTTTTACCACATTTGTCAGTTAAAACTATTATATCCAAGTATAAATAGATATCCTGTTATCATGTTGTTCAAGAAGGAGATGGGTTCTTTGTGTAGCAAAATGTGCCTATCAACTAAAGATCAAAACCTGGGTAAAAATAAACCGCGACCAAGTTGGGGACAAACACTTTAATGTTTAGAGACAATGAAATCAAGAGTAAAGTGTTTGGCCAATTTTGGAAACAATAGCATTACATGTCAACATATATGCTAAGACGTTAAAGTAAAAGTGGATTTTCTAAATGGAGAATTATCCTAAGCATACCATCAGCTTATTTAGAAAGTGACCATCACAGATTACTGGTCTGAGTTCCTTAAAGTGTGTTTCCATTGAAAGAACTTTCATTCATTTAGTTTGTTTCGATCACATGGATAAACTCTGTCAGATCTTTTGAACACAGCTTGAACTACGTTTTCTAGATATTCTCAGTGTTCTTATAACACCGTAAAGCTCTAAATATCTGACATTTCCCACCCAAATTCCTCATCATCCATCTTCTTGTGATCGCAACTAGTCGACATGAAATGCAAGAAAGTCATTGCAGATCTAAGAATGGACTAATAGTCAACTAATCATCCCTACTATGCGAAGTCTTTTTATTTTCTAATATACTTGTGAGCGAAGAATGAGAAAGAATATGTTGAATTTAAGAGAGTTAGTTGTTCTCCAACAGGAACAAGGCAGAAATTACATTCTTATTCCTGTACAATTTGTACTGTAATCTAGCTAATAGATGTCTAGCCAACGGCTCGACACGGCAATTGCAAAGATTTCTATTTTCATCAAGACAATTGTCCTTGGAGTCATTGATTATCTGATGTCTGCCAGACCTGATGTTTAACTGTGTGGTTTACTCTCCAATGGCTAATTAGCCCGTTTCATACGGTTAGTGAAATGCTTAAACCTTGGCAAAGCAGAGTGCACACTTTCATTTCCTTTCAACTAATCTGTCCTGCACCTCACAGTTCTGCATAATTAATCATATGTCTTTAGGAATTCTTGTTTTTACAACAGAAAATGTTTCTCTCACTAACACTGCACACTTTATTCTCGCTTTTCCACAGACGGACAATTTCCCCGCTGAACCTAATTATATGGGTAGCAGACAACAGTTTGTTCAAAGGTAAGAGCTGGAATCTATAAAGTAACTGTTTCCAAGTCATTACTAGTTACCAAAAAGCGCTATAGCGTATGCATATGTCAATTGGTTCTAAAAGTGCTCACACTGATGCATCCAAATCTTCTGTGTTTTTTGTTGTTGTTTAGTAGTTCAACATTCAAAGACCCAGAGCGAGCCAGCCTCAGAGACAGCGGCCATGGTGACAGCGACCAGGCTGACAGTGACCAGGACACCAACAAAGGCTCCTGCTGTGATATGTCTGCAAAAGAAGCCCTCAAACTGAAGGCTGCAGGTGTGAAACCACCACCTTTGGAACAAGGTGAGTCCTCCCTGGCAAATCTAAGCAGACAGGAGAAGAAACAGCCGAAAAAGTACAATTAAAGACGTATAACTTTTGCGCTTGCCTAAACACTCATTGTATGACATCGCGTCGGTCTCCTTTATCCACGCCCCACTTTTTTCACTGCACTCTGCATACAGTATGCCTGGACCGGAGGGTGTGACTACGTGTGCATGCTACACACGTCCTCAGTTTATCAAAGCAGACAAGCCCATTATGTTTTTATAAGCTCAACTACTTCTGCTTCTGCATTTAGTCCCCTTTCTCTGAGCTCCCATCTCTGAAACTTTGATAATGGAACACGGAAAATGACTTAGCGAGCGGCAGGCGATGTAGCCTCGTAGTTTGGTGATTAAATATGAATAATTATTCTAAGCACTGTGGGTCAGGCAGATTACATATGACATGTGTAGAACAATAACTCCCCAGATATGAGTTGTTGCAGTCACCCCCCGCAACCTCGCAAGATTAGTGCATGGTCACAGAGAGGCAAGAAATTTAAGATTATGCATAGAGTAGAAAGAGAGAGGAAATGGGAAAAGAGATACAGTGAATTTCCCTTTGCAGCTTTAACCGGAGATTTGCTTTGGTGCGCACAATTACCCGCTTAACATAATGGAAATACTCCGGGAAACACAAATTTGCTAAAACATCTACACTAAAAAAGTTTGTATCTCGCTGACAGGATCCTGAAGAATGGTCTTGTGTACTGAACATGGATTCTCTGTAATGGTGCTATTAATCCTGGGAACAGAAGGGCTGCTTTACTCCGTACGGAAGGACAATGAAAATTTGAGCAACACTCTGTACTGCAATATGCGAGTCTGACAAGATAGCATTTTTTTCCTTTTCATTGATTTTAGAATTAAAAAAAGCCACACATGTTGGCAAGAGAAATTGGCCAATTAAAAAGCTCCATATGTTTCTCATTTTGAAAATGTTCTCATTTAATTGTCCATGAGGGACCAAAGGATCACATTTATAAACACAAAAGCACGTGACTATAGACTAAGTATGCAATTTTTAGGTTTTTGGAAGCTGTTTGAGCTCTGGTAGATGCAGCGTGTTTATACACTTCTCTGTGTGTGGTCTTTGAGCTGTACAATTTAGTTCTTGAACAAAACAAAATGTGCTCACACGCCTACACGTGCAGTCGCGCGCGCGCACACATGCACTCATAGACCACAAGTCCGGAGGTGATGGTAACTTACTGAGGGTGTAATCTGTGTTTAAGGGTTTTTTCCCCCTCCTCCTCCATGAGTCTCGTTCCACTTCTCCCCCTCTCCTTGTTTAGGGAAATCGACTGATGTGAGATTAGACAGTTAACCGACAGCAGCCGGCTGTGTTTTGCCAATAACATAGGGGTTTAGCTAAGCTGTGGGGGAGGAAAGGGGCTGTGGGCCAACGCTGAAGTTACTCTGGTACGACACTGGCACATCCTTATCAACTTTTAAAACCCCTAGTTGAATGCTCAATTATGTTTTTTTTTTTTTTTTTTTTTTTTTTTTTTTTTTTAGAAAAAAAAAGAAAAAAAAAAGCTTGACACCGGTCAGTATCCCTGAGGTTCCTGAGGTTGTTTTCTTACAGGGTTTTTCTATACATCTAATCTCTTAGTATATAGTTCATGGGTCTTTCTTTACAGCTGCCTCCCCCACTTTTTCCCTCCCCCAACTTTCATCCTTTATCCCATCTTAAGACCAGTTTCCCTCTCAGCATAGCCCTCTCAATTACTCTGTAGCTCTCTTTGCTTTTTCCGTCACAACAGTGTGGCCTCTTTCACAGGTTCAGTATAAACAGGACTCACAGTGCACAGAGCATGTAGTTCAAGTCCCAATTAATCCCCCACCTCAGTTTCAGTTCTTATCCTTAAAGAAACCAAGTTTTTCTTTATTTTCACCCTAATTTTGCCATCCTGCTTAGGAGTTTTTTTTTTTTTGTTTTTTTTTTCTTTTTAATAACTGGATTTGTGCTGCCCTCCAGTAACAGTAGGTTGAGTTCAACAATCTCTCTCCCTTATGGGATAGGTTTTTTCTAGACAATATAATCTAGATATCTTAGCACTGCAGCTCAGTTTCAAATTGATTAATTAGTCTCGCAAAATTGGTTGCAATGTATTAATTAAGCTTAAGTATATCAAATGCATTTTTGCCAGTTTTAAACAGCGATTAATTGATGCTCCAGGGCACCTGCAGCAGACATTAATACGGTCTTGTCTGGCTCGCCGGAGAGGTTGGCAGCACATCGCTCGCCTCTGTGGAGATGACTGCCACAGTTGCTATCACGAACAGACAGTCAGCAGTGGTGTTGGGAGATGTTACCCACTGATAGGGCTGTCCGAGCAAATGGAGAGGGAGCAAGAAGAACAGCGGGGGATGAGGGCGGGGGGTTGGAGCACAGAGAGGAACGGACAGTGTTTGAGTGTACCACCTGACCTTTCCTAATTATCTGCAACTGGATTATGATAATCAAACCGCCTCCTGCTTTGTTTCAGAAACGGGAGCGATGAGTGGGACAGGGAGGGGTTGGGGGTGTGGGAGGATAATGTGATACTACAAGGACAGTGTGGATACTGTGAGGAGACAGCATGCGATGTGTTCCTATGACAGCCCTGTGGAAGGTGATGAAATTGAGTTTCTCAGTTATTTGTGGCTTGGTAATAGAAATATCCACCTGCACATTTTCCACCAGCTTATGAATTGATTAAGTAAGGGAAATGCCATGATTGGTCAGTTGTTTTCACACACGCGAGCGCTCCCTTACAATGATGTCTATGAAAACACACACACATATAATGTAACTCATAAAAAGATGATGATGACATTATATTCAGCTCTTACTTGCAAAACCTACATTTCAGTTTGCTAGTTTTTTTTTTGTTTTTTTTGTAAATGCTTAGTAATTTATCATACTGAGAATGAACCTGTAAATTACAGCTATATAAAAATGTACAATTCTTTTCACTTCTGTGTTAACAGATTAAACACACATTTTTTCAGTGTGTTTTTAAAGTTTTATAGAATACATCATTGCTTTATGCGCAAACTTATAGATATACAAAAATAAAATCAGACATTTTATCTTAGATGGATCCTATAGGCTGAGTCTTGTACTTTCTTCTGAATCTGAGATGTAATTGTAAAGATGGATGTTAAGACAACAACATAACACTGAGCTGGCAATATTTTGTTCAATGTACTTCTGTGGATGATGTGTGAATTTCCATTTATCCCTTTACACATCAGTGTTTCTAATTTTATCAGCAGCATTTTCAGCTGAATGTAGTAGCCCAAAGCAACAGGCGCAGCAGAAAAGTTAGCAGCCTATCAAAGAGGATTTCACGCAGTGGATTTTCCAGACCTTATTGTGGCATTAGGATGTTTTCAAGCTAAAGAAGGGCTCAACTCTGTGTTCTTCTGAAAAACTATGAATAAAATTGAGTCCACGTAATTTAGTGTGCTTAATTAAACATTTTCTTTTTTAGTCCTCACAAAGACGAAGTAAAAGAAATATTCTGACTTAAATTCATCTAAAATATTAATCCCATCTTCCCTTGAGGCAGCTTAATCTTAAGACGTTAGCACTACAGTACCTTTCCTGAATCCTCACAATCTCAGTTTTCTTTTTTTTCATGTTCAAAGCAATTAGTTTTGAATTATAGGTGAAGCTTTGATTGAAAAAATGCAGTTGCAAGATTAATTGACTGGTCAGAAGTCAAATCAGATGCCCTTTTCAACCATGTAGCCATGGCAACCCCTTTCCTTCTCACCATGGTCTTCAATAAACCTTTATCTGACTGTTGGAAAAGTGGATTCCGTTGAATATCATTCATATTCCATGGTCAGATAGTGCATTTGTTGTATGAATGCTTTTGGATCTAGATTAAAAAGGCGTCCCGGACTGCATTTTATGACTTCATTATTGACATGTACCATTTTGACACAAATGCAGCCCTCAGGACAGTACACATTACAGTCGTGGGTGAAATCAATAATGCATACTATTTTGATGTATTTATGTTTAGAATTCCTCTTATTGGGCTGGTAGAAAATGCTTTCGTTTTCATACCAACTCAAAGAAAACCGAGTGCAAATTTTACACAGCTATTGGCTTCATTAGAGAAATAACTGTTTTTGTATTTGCATAAACATTGTCAGCTGCTCCATTTGAGATGTGTCAATAATGGTTTTGGACAAACAAGTTCTTATCGTTCCAATGTATTTTATCTGGGTTCCCTTTTAGGGATAAAGCGTGGTTCATAGCGAATGTTTTCGTCGAGAGAGAGAGGAGGAGAGAGGCAAGCTGAAAAGGGAAAAAAAAACAGGTCAGACGCTGCACAAGTGAATTCTGAAAACAACAAATGAACAAAGCAACACGCAATCTGGCTGCTGAATGACAGGCTGCTTGAAGACGCACATCTTCTGAAACACTTCCAGTAAGCTTTGAATCCAAAGTGGCGTGATCGAACCATGGCGCCACCAGGATGTGACTCAGTCATATCATCCGGACAGGGAGGCTGACTTTTTGACATTTACTCATCTGATGAAAACTTGAAAAGCAACAGTTGCCTCCTTTGTGAGGGTCCCTAAAGTGATGGCTCACTGACACATAATAATTCCTTTCTTATTGCAGTTATTACATCCATCATATATTTCATGATTTTATTCAATATATGTGACACTGTGATCCATCACGTTCAAGTTTTTCTTCCTTTTTTTTTTTTTTTTTTTTGCATTTTGTTAAAGAAAACCCGTTGATAGAAACTTGAGAGGGAAGATTCATGATTCACTTCTGCAGCTGTCTTGCACCCAGTGCCTGCTTTTGTTTCTTTACTGGATTTATGAAGCAGGTTACGTTAAATACCTGAAGATGAGTGTTTGTAATGGAAGAAATCTGCAAATATCACCGGGTCACGGTAATACTTTATCCAGGCACAAACACAGCTGGAGCTGGCGTGATCAAAGAGATTGAAAAGATAGTTT